AGTCCCTAGCGCTGGCAGCGGATGGTTCTAAAATATTCCAAACAATGGATCCTCTGTGAGAAATAGAGTTTTTCATATAATAAGTTTCAAAACGTTGTATGTCAACACGATGTTGATGACGGAGGTCATCCTTAGACTCTTTCCTTTGGATTATATGTTCCAAGCATGATGGAGTTATGCGGTTGTAGATATTATACCACATAACAAAAAAAAGATAAAGAATGTTCCTCACTGATTGAGTTATGTTTCGTTTTTGTCACAAAATTCCGCGGACGAGCAGTTGATGAATTTCTTTATTCTCATCACCTGTCTGTTTGACATTGCCTTGCTATTGTTAGTTGAGAAATAACATGTCGATGCCACAAAACAGAAGTTCACGATTGTTACCTGTAATTTGACATCTCGTAAAGTCTCGGTTGATCCAACAGTCAGTGAGACTTCTCCGCGCTGTTTACGGTGCCTGTAACGGGCGAAGAAATACTGAATATCCCATAAAGAGTAGCAAAGGGGAAAAAATAAAACAAAAACTGCAAGTACCTGGAACTTCGACGGGCTCGACTATCACGATTCAGCTTTGGTTTCTTATTGTTCGGTGGTGTCTGCAAATAGAGAGTGGACTGGTGAGATGCACGTGACATGCACATGTTTGAAGGCGCGGTGGCCTAGGTTATGATACTTTCAAGCTCACAGTGTTCTGCTTTATTTCTAGCAGTGCAAAACGTTGCTAAGCTCTAAAATTGTGACACATAACTACCAGGTAATGTAATCAAGATCATGGTAATTTGTTGGACACCAACCTGGAAATCTGGATCGAACGAATAGACATCTTTGCTCGAGGTACTCTGTTGACAAAAAGCGTAAATGACAGGGGCAGTTACTAAATCTACTGTAGCTAGCACTTTTGGACTCCTAAACGTACCTTTTTGGTACGCTTCGGCGGCATATCAAGCTCGTTTGGTCTCGCCATGGGTATTTTGGCTCAACTACGTCTCACCAAATACGAACCATGGCTCGACCAAACTCGCTTGATATGCCGCCGAAGCGTACCAACAAGGTTTGATTGAACTACTGTCCTGAATTGAAGGGAAAGTGTAATGTTCTGACCCAGGCTTTTCAAGAGCTGAAAAAGGACTAGGGAAAAACAGAAAGACAAAGCTTACATCATTCAAGGCTTGCTGTATGTCCTTCTCGGTGTGATCCTTTGTTATTTTGCGCACGTAGATTGTTCCATAACGATAATTCTCCACGTGCTGTGCTCGTTCCTGTATCCGCGCATAGCAGCATTCCGTGCACACGTCTGAAATACAAAACGTACTGTGAACGATCCTTACGGTTTTAATTAAGGTTGAAATGTTCCCACTGCTTTACTCATTTCTTGGCCAATCACAATCAAGTTGATCAGGGAGACGAAGAAGGCAAAGTGGCCACGTGATGATAAGTTGCATGTGTGGTTTCTAGCTCTGTGATGGGCGGGAAAGTTTGAAAAACCAACTAAAAGATATCAAAAATTAATCGAAAACTCTACCAAGTAGTTGGGTATCAAGTGTCTCAGTGAAAGATGAAAATTCAAACTATGAAAAATTAGACTCGATTTAATCTAGCCTAATAATATGCCTACCTCTGGATGAATGTTGAATACATTCACTTGTTCCTCCTACAACACAAAGACTTACCGGGACTAGTCACCAGTTCTCTCACGTCGTCTTCTGTTACACTTTTGGTAACCGTGATCACGTGATCGTAAGGGTAGGTTTGGGTAAGTGTGTTCCACTCGTGTTGCCAGACATAACATAACCTGCAACAAGAGTAAATAGTGTGATTTCTGAGTTCACATAAACCGCTTTACACTGGACGCGCCGTCAAAGTCGTGATTGGCTGACTGATTGACTGACTGACTGACCGACTGACAGACCATCCTAACACCAGTTGAAGTGATTTCGGTTGTTATCACAACACAAAGGCACGTGTGATTTGTCCAGATTCTGCACCTGACTGGTTCCAAAAATTATCGCATTTGCTTTAATAGGCTGTTGTACATTGAATGAGTGTTTTTATTAACCTAATATAGAGAGCTCAGCATACCAGGAACGCATGTAGTTACTTTTAAGCCTACACTATTGTGCTTCCAGAGACAGCAACTTACTCTTCATTCGCACCATCCATGTCGTCATCACACTCCGGATTGAAGAGGAACTTTTCATGGGGACACAGCAGAGGGGCATTGACGATACTGTCCGGTGGGACATTCCTTGCGGGGTACCTGTTGAACCGATTAAGAAACCTTCAAAGGCGTGAATCGTATGCTTATACACAGTCATTATCGATTGTCTGACACAGACCGCAGAGGTTCAACCTCTCCCTGACCTGGAGTAAAAAAATAATTGGCGTAGTCTGATGACCTATATATACTGCCACACACGCACGCTTGCTTGCGTGCGAGGAAGCGTGCGTGCGTGAGCGATAAGTGGTCGCATGTTGGTAAATGCTGTAAATCAAGAATAAAAAGAAGCCCCATTACTGTTTTTCTGGATCAGTGGTTGACTTTAAAGTTCCTAGCTTTTTACCCTTTCTCCCGTTTATGGCATACAGTAAAAACCGCGTGTAAGAACCTACTATGGTTTCAGAACTTGCTGGCAGAAATTTGCCATTTTAAAACCCAAAAATATAACCTGTTTAGTGCTAACAGCACCATTAGCTCAATGCACCTTACCTTAAGAATTGCCTCCACTGATCAAGAAAACTTTTTGAAATGGCACAGGCAACGAATGGATCCTGACGAAAAGTAGCGAAAATTAGAATTTTACTGCAGGCTACAAATTTTTTTGGACGGAAACTAAAAAAAAATACTAAGAAATGTATACATCTTGGAAGGATACAGCTCACTGGAAGGCTAGCATTTTCCCGCCATTTAGACTGTTGCAGCTCTATTTTCACGCCAAAAATGACCTCGAGATGAACTAGACGAGCAAGGCTTTTGCGACTGAATTTTAGATAATTAAATATGTTACTCACGTCGTTATCAAGTGACGGCCGATTCCTGTCGAGATACAGTTGACTAACAGCAGCTCTCTGCTCTGATGCGAGCAATTTGTACGTCTCATTCTTCTGTCGTTCTTCCTCGTCTTCTGCCTGTGTAGTTAAAAAGAACATCTTTAAAAAAAATCCCACCTTCTTTAGCAGTCACTTTTAAATGCCTGTTTGCGGCTATTACTGGTATGGATCTGTGTCACTATGGCATATAAGATTCGTACCTGGCACGACCTGCACACTGGGTGAACAGCTTGAAACTCGGGTGCGCAAGAAAAGTAGTACTTTAACCTCTGCCACACGACATCTGGTACAAGCCTCCGGCAAGACTCGTCCGAAGAAAGGTCTCCTGCAATGTAATCAAGAAAAAACGCCTGTTGAAGCTATTCTAGAAACCTGTTTCGCTGCAAGAGTTCATTGGTGAATCTTCTGTTATTACGTTTACTCTCCCTGTATTACACTGTCACAGTAACGCAACATTGAATTGTTACCTTAGCGCAACATTGAATCGTTTTTGCGACGCAACATTGAAATGGCACAGAATCATGATGATCATGCAAGAATGTCGAAATCCGAGTGTTAAGCGGACAATTGTAGTAGTAGCGCTTTCGTCTTATGGCAATGATGTGAAAAGGATGGTATTGTAAATACCTGAAACACCGACATTCCTCATGTAAACTTACCGTGCTCGCAAAGCAAGTCTTCGTTGAACTTAGAATCGCTGTCATCTTCGTCCTCCTCAGCACCAATCTCCTGTGGATTCTCGTCCATCTGCTGAGGTGCCTTCTCTTCTTCCGTCATGCTAACATCATGATCTTCAATTCCTTTGACCTTAACTTCATCATCTTCCTCCGCGTCGTAATTGGCTGTAACTTGACATCTGTCCATCAAACTCTGGCGCGCCTCTTCATGATGGATTGCTAAAGCTTTCCATCTCAGAAGTGACCGCCGACCAACCCAAAAGAACTTGTCACTGCAAAAAAGAACGAAAAAACGAGCTTATAAAACAACCATGTGAACCAGAATCATGTGACCATTGGAATAGCGCAGCACTGGGGTTGCTTGTTTTATTTTGTTTGCTTTATTTTTTGCCATTTATAAATATATTTACAAACTTTCAATGCATAAGACAAGGAAGCCAAAGGAACCTCAAGGAAAGGACTACCTAAAGATACCTAAGACTTAAACAAAAAATGCTGTCATCACCACACAAAATGATCATAATTTAGGATAAAAAGTAGTTAAGCATAGCAAAACGCGCAAATGCGCAAAAGCAAAGAAAGACAAAAAAGCGAAAAGAAGCACACACAAGCACACTAAAAAAGTAAGATATACTGATACCAAGAAAGATGACGAGTGTAGAGGTGAACACAGCAGTACTATGGGCACTTTGAATTTCAGTGCTCGGAGACAATTAATATAATTTGGGGCCTTCAAAACGGAGTGCGAATTTCCTTAAATTTGTCCTACAGCAAGGCAAATGGAAGGTTAACTACCTGAGTGATGTTTGAGACTTCAAAGTATCGGACACAAACTTGTAATCTTCAGCCAGTCTGGATTCGAAACGTATTCTTCTGCATTGTTCTTTGACACAGTTAATACACATTGAGTCACTAGATAATAAAAGTATAAAGTAGCAAGATTATTCACTCCGGCAGTGAGGCTGAGACATATTTTGGCATTTTTAGTTTGTTTTCGCCGAACAAAATGAGTCTTAATTCCCTCATTAAACCTTTTTTTCATTTTCTTATATTTTCTGAGTATTATAGAACATACAGGAAAATTATATAACTACCTTTGAAGTCTTGGTAGACCACCATATTTTCTGAATATTTCATCTGCCTATAGAAAAAGCAAGAACATGAACTTGAAAGCAGTTGAAGTAAATAACTGGGAATTTCTCTAAATATTGACAACTTACAGCTTTGATGGTAATTCGCTTGGCATTCAGAACTTGACTTGGATTGAGTCTGGAGTAAAAACGAAAAAACTAGTTGGCTCAAAACAACATTATATTGCACTTTGTAACCTCCTAAAAGCGACCTGGTTGCCTACGGGATGTGGTCGCTTACGAGGGCTTAGACCATATTGGGTCATAATTTTGCCTCGTTAGCATATGGTAACATCCGACACTTTAAACTGTTTTATTCTACTTCCCGTTGGGGAGGTGCGGTGGCCTCATGGTTAGT